GCCTCTTTCAAATAGAGGACAAGGAATCTGGAATCTGGTTGCTTCTTCAGCTTTGGCTTTGTTTGTTTGTCTAGAGAATCCTGGGAGTTCTGGGCATGTGGGACACTCGCCTCTTTGCCACTGAGTTAGGACATATCAGTTTAATTATATGTGCCAGCGCCTAGTGACTTATAAACTATCTTCCAAACGCTGATAGAATCCTCTTTTGTTGTTTGTTTGGTTTCCTGCCATTTTGAACTCAAATTAGTCCAAAAGAGAGAGAGGAGAGGGAAAAAATTGTGCCCTCAGGAATGGAGAATAATCCCTGAGTCAAAGAACATTCTGGCAAAATACTCTTCCTCTCCTTCAAAGGCCTGTTAATTTTTTGTTGCTTTTTTTTGGTCATGTTCTTAAATAATATTTTTAAACAAAGTCTACTTCTTGAAGAAAAAAAACAAAACAGAATTCTTCATCATTATTATCACTTGCTCCTGTGTTTATTCGCTTGCCTGTTCCCTCAACTTTGTGCTGTCGCCTTTCTCAGATCCAGGTCCCCGATTCAGAAAGATAAAACTGCCAAGGTGCAAATGCAAATGCAAATGCTCTTGGCGTTTCCAGATGGCTGCTGGGCAACACCAAAGACTTGCTTCCTTGCTTTACAAAAGGAGGGATGCTTACAATGATTGGGTTTTGTACTCGTCTTTTGTTGTTTTTTGTTTGTTTGTTTTTTGAGACACAGTCTTGCTCTGTCACCCAGGCTGGAGTGCAGTGGTGCAATCTCAGCTCACTGTAACCTCTGCCTCCCAAGTTCAAGTGATTCTCCTGCCTTGGCCTCCTAAGTAGCTGGAATTATAGGCAGCCGCCACCACACCTGGCTAATTTTTGTATTTTTAGTAGAGACAGGGTTTCACCATGTTGACCAGGCTGGTCTCAAACTCCTGACCTCAAGTGATCCATCCACCTTGGCCTCCCAAAGTGCTAGGATAACAGGCGTGAGCCACGGCACCTGGCTTATATTTTTAATTAGCCAAACACTAGAGTGATAGCTGCCCTATGAAGTCTGTAGCATAAGAAAGTTGACAAAAAGAGAAACTCACCCTCCCTGGGTTAATTTTATACATACATAAACATATAATATGTGTAATATATGTTCTTGTGCACTTTTTAAGATGGACCAAAAAAACCTAATCTAATGCACAGAGGGTGGCATAATAAGCATCAACAAAGACATTTCTTTAAAAAGATTTTGTCTCTAGATTTAAAATGCCCTTAACAATTAGTGATAATGCTTTATGGGATTAAAAGACCCTGAAGATGGGCCAATGTGTTTGCTGCCGATGACATGTTTTTTTTGTTGGTGAGATGCGGTCTTGCTCTGTCACCCACTCTGGAGTGCAGTGGCACAATCTTGGCTCACTGCAACCTCTGCCTCCAAGCTCAAGTGATTCTTCTGCCTCAGCCTACCGATTAGATGGGACCACAGGCGTGCACCACCATACTCGGCTAATTTTTGTACTTTCAGTAGAGACAGGGTTTGACCATGTTAGCCAGGTGGTCTCAAACTCCTGACCTCAAGTGATCCACCTGTCTCGGCCTCCCAAAGTGTTGGGATTACAGGTGTGAGCCACCGCGCCAGCCTAATATGTTGTTAATATGAAAAACTGATCATGCATTATACCTTCATAGAGGACTCTATTGTCCTCCATTGTGATATTGTTGATTATTACAGTTAACTAACCGGAATCCTTTGGTCTAATCAACAGGTCTGATTTTTACCCTCACACTTGCTTAAAGGCCTCTGCTTCGAGCTAGAATAGACAAATGCATACAGGCTGCCACGCTGACATCCTCTTCTTGACCAGACACTGCCATAGGCCAAGGTGGACTCCAAGAGTCCTTGGTCCAGAAGTAGATAACTTTGAAAGCGGGCTAACTAACCCACGATCAGAGGAACAGGGATTATTCCCCAGGACTGGATGAAACTGCTTTTACCCTTCATGTTCTACTAATGTTCTAACTTTCCAAGTCTTTTTTTTTTTCTTTAATCTGTCTCTAATCCTCAATTTAGGAGGCTGTATTCAATAAACTGGAATAAAATATTCCTAAAATGGTGCCTTCTTCCAACTAACTCTTCAGAATTCTGGGGGTGAGGGTGGGAGGGGGACTATAAAAACCTAACAGATATGAAATAATAAATCATCAAGGAAATGTTGAAATAATCATTCTACTGAAAACAACAAATGTAATTGGCCTTATCTACAAACCTACTTGGAGTAATTGCTAAAAACTCTTCAAAGTATCTTTGCTGAGACCCTTTTCTTTTACGATCATTAGTTCTGTAAACAGGATCTATAAGAATCCATCCTCCTTCCTAACAGGATATAATTGGGTAAATCAAATTTGTAACCATGGCTGTGCCAGAAATGTCACATTTAAAGACGAATTTCATTTAATTAGGCATGACAAGTCTGAGAATAAGAAACAAGGTCTGCACTTCAAAAGTGGGAATGAGGCCTCCCCAGGCCTCCAGGAAACCGGACTGGACCTGCTCTATGGCTTGTGGAATTTCAGCCTTTAAGGTTATGAAAAGACATCAATCTCTGCACGTCCAGAAACACTGACAAACGAAGATTCTCCAAAAACAGGGTATCCCCCACATTACACGTTGAATAGGCACAATCTGGCAGAGGTGAATTGGATGGTTCTAGGTTCCTGATCTCTAATAATATAAAATTTTTTCACACCGACATACACACACATACACACACACACACACACACACACACACACACGCAATTCTGGCCTGGGGGCCTTACAAAGTCTCCTAACAGAGTTAACTCTCAAGCTTTTCTATCGCATGCTCTAATTTTAAGAACCATACAACTGGGAGGACTTTATCAATCAATACCTTGTTACATACATCTCTGTACATAAACCTGGCCACATTTTTTAAAAATCAAAGTAACAACAAAATCAGAAAATTTCTGAAACAAACTTACGTGGTCAGATTTGTGCCTTGGGAAGACGGCAACGAGAAAACAGACTGACACCTGGCCCTGCTGCCACTGTACCATTTCATTCTTTTATTTTATTTTTTCTTTTGAGACAGGGTCTCACTCTGTCACCCAGGCTGGAGTGCAGTGGTGCAACTCGGGCTCACTGAAGCCTCGACCTCCTGGATTCAAGCAATCGATCCTCCCACTTCAGCCTCCCAAGTAGCCGGGACTACAGGCATGCACCATTACTCCCAGCTAATTTTGTATTTTTCTGTAGAGATGGGGTTTTGCCATGTTGCTGGTCTCGAACTCCTGAGCTCAAGTGATCAACCCACCTCAACCTCCCAAAGTGCTAGAATTATAGGCATGAGCCCCTGAGCCCAGCCTGCCACTTGATTCTTACTATCATACTCACACATCATGTCCCAAAGTTAGAGAAACAGAAAAGGTAACACATCTTGCACCCAGGGATAAAGGATTCAAAGACAATGGAGATAAACGAATAAATGACAAAAACAAAAAAAGCAAATAAAAGATAGAGCCCTTCTCATGGTGGCACATGCCTGTAATCCCAGTTACCTGGGAAGCTGAGGAGGCAGAGGTTGCAGTGATCCGAGATCACGACACTGCACTCCAGCCTGGGCAATACAGTGAGACTCTGTCCCCCCACACCCCCCAAAAAAAGAAAAAAGAGCCCTTCTGTATAGTATTGGTCCTCAAAACAGAAAAAACCTTGAGTTCTTTCTGTAAATTACAAACTCCACAAACTCCACAACAAAAAACAGTTTTATCCCTGACTTTTACAATGCTGATATTAGCAAACACGTGACAATGCTCACACAGATGATCTCTCACATGTGAGAAAATGGTGCTGCTTCCCCTCTGAGCAGACGAACTGCAATCTTGGTAATCTTTGGCTCGTTTTTAAAAATACCAATGGTATTTTTATTTTGTGAGCCAGTCTTTCTGATGGCTATACCCTCCTGCACAAACTTTTCTTTTTTTTTTTTTTTATTTTCTTGAGACAGAGTTTCACTCTTGTCATGAAGGCTGGAGTGCAATGGCGCAATCTCGGCTCACTGCAGCCTCCACCTCCTGGGTTCAAGCGCGTTTCCCGCCTAAGCCTCCTAAGTAGCTGGGATTACAGGTGCCCACCACCACACCCAGCTAATTTTTGTATTTTTAGTAGAGACAGGGTTTCGCCACATTGGCCAGGCTGGTCATGAACTCCTGACCTCAGGGGATCCGCCCGCCTCAGCCTCCTAAAGTGCTGGGATTATAGGCATGAGCCACCGCGCCCAGCCACAAACTTTTCTTAAAGCATTTATAGCTTTGAATCTCCCTTTCACACACTCAACTAGACTGTATGCCCCATGAAGGCAGAGATTTTCATCCGTTTTGCTCCTTGCTGTATCCTCAACATCTAGAATAGTATCTGGCATAGAGTAAAAGTTTCTGTAAATATTTGTTAAACAGATGAATCATATGCTCTGTAAAAACCAGTTATATTTATTCCAAAATATTTAATAATTGCTTATTTTATGCCACAAACTGGGGATGTGGAAATGGAGGAGACTGAGCTCTTGCCTTCAAGAACTCCCAGGAGACTGAGTGAGGTGGGCAGATAAACAGATGTGGGCGTGACAGCCTACCACTGCTATGATGGACATGCACAGAGCCCTGTGGGGACACAGAGGTCGGGTCCCTTATCTAGCTAGAGCAATCAGGGAGGGTTTCCTGGAGGAAGCTAGACTGAGCGATGACAAGGGGATGGCCAGAGAAACAGGGAAAAGCGGGAGGAGGGTGTCTCTGGTAAAGGACACAGCATGTACAAAGACATAGAGATGAGAAACAGTGGGGATGGGGTGCAGTAACAACAGCTGAGGCCAGTGAGGTCCTCAAGGGCCGTGACCCTGAGGGCAATGGGCACCTGGAGAAGGTCCTTGCCCCTCCTTGCACTGGCTCCATGTGCCAGGCCACAGGTGCTGAGTTGGGCTGCAGCGGGGCAGCAGGCAGGTCACTTACCTGGTGTGCTGCTGGAGGTGGGAGAGCTGCCGGAAGGACTTATCACAGTAGGAGCAGTGGTAGGGCTTGACGCCCAGGTGGATGCGCAGGTGCTGGGCCAGGTAGGAGGCGTTGGCAAAGGACTTGGAGCAGTGCGGGCACTTGTGGGGCTTGGCCTCTGTGTGCGACTTGGAGTGGATCTGCATCTCCGACTTGGTGAAAAAGGTCAGCGGGCATACCTTACACCTGCGGAGCAAGAGGCAGGTTCACACGCGGGAAGACCCTCCCAGCCTGTCCATCTCAGGGGAGCTCTTCCACATCAGAGAGACCTTGCACCTGGGACAGTATTTTCCTGTGAGGAGCCCAAGAAGCACAGGCCCACCTGGGAAAGACAGGGGACAGTCTCCCAGCCTGGGCACCCTTAAATCTGGAGGAGGAAGTTCTTGCCTGGGGGAACATTACAGAGCCCGGGGCATAGGGTTATACCTCATAGGGAAGACAGGCCTGATCCTGGTGAGGCTTTGCCCAGGGCTACATCCCATGGTTCTGGGGAGGAGGCTCTACCACGTGAAGTAGTTCTCAACCAGGCTGCTCATTAGAATCATCTGGGGAGCCTCTAAGAAATACCAACACCTGCCCCACCCTCCACACCCTCTGCCCTCAAAAAATTAACTCAGAATTCCTGGAGATGCAGCCCTGGCATCTGCATTTTCTGAAAGCTCTTCAGGTGATTCTTTAAAATTCTGGTGGTGGTGGTTGTTGTTTGAGACAGAGTCTCACTCTGTCGCCCAGGTTGGAGTGCAGTGGCCCGATCTCAGCTCACTGCAGCCTCTGCCTCCGGAGTTCAAGTTATTCTCTTGCCTCAGCCTCCTGAGTAGCTGGGATTACAGGGGCACACCACCAGGCCCGGCTAACTTTGTATTTTTTGTAGAGATGAGGTTTCACCATGCAGGCCAGGCTGATCTCAAACTCCTGACCGTAGGTGATCCACCCACCTTGGCCTCCCAAAGTGCTAGTATTACAGGCATGAGCCACCGTGCACGGCCTCTTCAGGTGATTCTAAGGTGGCCAGGGTTGAGAACACTGCTTAAAGGGAGGAGGAAACCGACTCTCACAACCCCAGGCTGTGGGGGCGGCTGCCAGGCACGGGCCACACCTAAGGGTCCAAAGCTCTATTACCCTACCCAGCAGCCCTGCCCGAATCGGGACCCGGGATGTGGGTGGGGCTCTCCAGAAGGCCCCGCCCCTCTGGACCCTAGCCCTGCCCCCTCGGCCCAAAGGGTCCGTTTGAGCCCCACTGCTGGGCTCCTGGAGCAGCCCTGGCTCAAGCCCCAGCCCCAAGCCCACTCGGACCTCATCCCGCCGAGACCCCCACCTGTACGTCTTGCCCTCCTTGGCAGTCTCGCCCGAGGCCAGGATGGGGTAGGGGACTACAAGGACAGGCGGACCCCCCGGGTTCTCTGCCTTGATCTTTTTGCGGCCGCGTTCGGACTTGGGGGGGCCAAGCAGGCCATGGCCCTGGATTGTCTTGATGGAGTCCAGGAGAGGGGGGCTGGTGATCCCTGAGATGAGGGTAGGGGACGAGGCGATGAGGCGGCTCTGGCTGGTGGTGGTGGGTGTGGACGGGGTGCTGGTACCCGTGCCCGTGCCTGTGCCCGCGCTCGACTCAGAAGTGCTCACAGCCGGGGTCCGGGTGGACAGCCCCAGACCTGCGAAGACAGGCGGGTGGGGGTAGGGGTGAGGGGAGCTGCAGAGGCCAGCTCGGCTGCCCACCCAGCTATGTGATTTTGGCAGGCAAGCATCCCCTTAACGTTCATAAGTTGCTACCCAGGGGTAACTAAATGAGACCTTGTGCATGTGTAAGATGCCTTAGGCACCTTAAGATTAAATTGAGTTATATAACAGAGGCACTTTGGAAAAATTCAAACTATAGAAAAAGACTGAGGCACAAAGAAGTTCACTGCTGTCTTATTTATAACAGCAACATTTTAGAGGCAACTGAAATATGCAACATTAGGAAGGGGTTCGGTAAACAGCGATTAATTGCCTCAGCTGCCCATTGAAAAGGAGGTTATGTTTGTTTAAGCAAACTACATATGTATGCACAGAAAAAATAAGCAGGAAAGAATGTGCCAAAATGGGATATGGATGGTAGACTAGGAGTAATTTTTTTTTAAAAAAAAGAAGCTTAACTGTACTTGATTCGACAATGAGAGCTTTAAAAACTTCTGTAGTAAAAGTTATTCTTTTAAAAATGAGAGGACTGGACACATTTATAATATCAACTGAAGCAGACAAAAAGATGAAAATGGTATCTATTGTGTGGTTCTAACTACGTTTTTTTTTTCTTTTAAAAAAAAAAGCTAAAAATTTGTGCATTGAAAAAGATAATGTCAAGTCAGCAGGAGAATGTTTTGTATCACACACTGGTGGTGGGAGCATACATTTGCAAAGCCTTCATGAAGGGTAGTCTGGCAACAGTCATTAAAATTTAAACATGGCCAAGCACAGTGGCTCACACTTGTAATCCCAACACTTTAAGAGGCTGAGGTAGGAGGATTGCTTGAACCCAGAAGTTGAAGACCAGCCTGGGCAACATGGCAAAACCCTGTCTCTCTACAAAAATTACAAAAATTAGCTGGGTGTGGTGGCATGTGCCTGTAGTCCCAGCTACTAGGGAGGCTGGGGTGGGAGGATCACTTGAGCCCCTGAGGTGGAGGCTTCAGTGAGCCATAATCACGCCACTGCACTCCAGCCTGGGTAACAGGACAAGACCCTATCTCTTAAAAAATAATAATAATTAATTTAAACAAATTTTAATGTACATAACTTTGGCCGAGTAATTCTACTTCTAGAAATTTACAATAGAGAAATATTCCCACATGAGCACAAAGACGTGTATACAAGTCCATACAAAACTGTGATCAGATAAAATTGAACACAACCTGTTTGTCCTCAGCATGAGCTTTGTAAAGAGCTGTGGTCCACTCTCATTAGGGAGAACTGCACAGCCACTAAAACAAGACCGATGTGATGCAGTGACAGAGAGAGAAGGTCGAAATGTGCTGTCAGGTGAAAAAAGCCAATCACAGACATAGGAGGTCATCTATTTTAAAGAACACACACTCAAACTACACATGTAGTTTGGACAAGATATATGTGCATATGTAAACGCACAGGAATAGATCTGAGAAGAGACACATCAAACTGCTAATTGTGGTTCTCTCCAGGGAAAGAGAAGAATTTGTTGGTAAAGGAGATTTTCCTACTTTGTCTATCTGATTCTATATTATTTGAATCTTTTACCTGGTGAATTTATCCATTTTTAACATCTGTGGTTAAAGGACAAAATAAAATAAATTATAAACATGAAAATTCTCACAATAGTAGGATTAAGGCTATTTTTTCTCCTTTCAGCTTATTGGCAATTTCCAAATTTTCTACAATGACTATGTATTACTTTTATAATAAAAAGTGTAATATATATGTTTATGACAGAATGGTGAGTAGGAAAAGCAAGTTAAAACCATGGGTACAGCCCTACCACAAGCTCAGCAAAACACACACGAATATTGAAAAACAAAAAATATGGCAAAGGAAGGAAATGGACCAAGAGCCTCTCTGAGCTGCTGGGTTGGGAGCTGGGGATTATGAATGATCTTTTTGTTGCTAGTTTCTCTTTTTTCCAAATTTCCCTTAATATGCTTATATTACTTTTTTTAATATTACTTTTATAATGGAAAAAATAAATTTAATAAAATCATAGTAACAGGGGATATGCAGAGTGCGGCTGGGGCCTGGATAGGTTTACCAGGCCCTGTAATTCTTGGGTGACTCTGGGAAAAGGCAGGAGAGAAGGAAAGCGGAAGAATCACCTGGCTGGCAGCAGAGGCGACAGGGGAGGAACAAAGGCCCAGCCACTGTGGTCTCCCAAGAAAGCCTATCCACCAGGCTCCAGGGAGAGCCTCCAGTGGCTCCAGCCCCTTGACATTACCCCAGGATGTCCCCCTGGCACCCCAGCCTCAACCTATCCAAGACTTAGCTCACATCTTTCCCCAACCCTGTTCCTTCTCCAGGGATTTCATCACAAGAGCAGTGGCCCAGGAGTCTCCCTCACCTCCTGCCTCCCCTCACACTCCTACATCCTGTCCTCTCGTCTCCCACAATGTATCTCAGATCTGTCCACTTCTCTCTATTCCCACTACCACCGCGTTGCCCAGGTCACCACACTCCTGAAGATCTCCCTGCTTCCATGCTTACCCCCTGACAACCTCTTCTCCACCTAGCAGCCAGACTCCGTTTTCTCAACCCATATCTGAGTGTTTCCTCCCCCACTTAAAAACCTTCAGTGGTTCCCCACTGCCCAAGGGTCAAGTCCAAACTGCTTTGTGGCCTACAGGGCCCTTCTTAATCTGGTCTCTGCTTCCTCGAAGCCTCAGCAGAACTAAGCATCAAAACAGAGTGAAGACACGGGCTCTGGAGCCACACTGCTGGCCTCTGCCTCTTACTAGCTGTAAACCGTGGTTGCACATGGCTTTACCTTTCTCTGCCTCAGTTTCCTCATCTGTTGAATAGAGACATTAAGGTGAACTGCATGAAACTGCTGTTTTTCTACGTCAAAACGGTCCAGTGTTCCACCTAATACCAACAGCACACACCTCACAGGCTGCTGGGAGTACAATGAACACTGGTGAACAGACACGGGCGCCCTACTGCAGCTAGCTGCCACCATCACTATCATCATCACCATATTCTAGGCCTTCCCACCCCAGACGGTCTGTCCTTCTCTTGCTTCCTACACACATACTCCCTCCGCA